GCCTCCAACCAAATAGCGATGGCCTCCAACCTAATAGCAATGGCCTCCAACCCAATAGCAATGGCCTCCAAACTATTAGCGATGGCCTCCAACCTGTTAGCGATGGCCTCCAACCTAATAGCAATGGCCTCCAACCCAATAGCGATGGCCTCCAACCAAATAGCGATGGCCTCCAACCTAATAGCAATGGCCTCCAATCTACTAGCGATGGCTTCCAACCTGATAGCAATGGCCTCTAACCTACTAGCGATGGCCTCCAACCTAATAGCAATATGGCCTCTAATCTAGAAACAATGGCCTCCAACCTACCAGCGATGGCCTCCAACTTAGTTCAGGTTAAGTAAGGTGACCAACATCTCCGTGGCCCGAAGGAAGGGAACGCAGTCTCAGTTTACAACAGCCTGATCATTTGTGGATTTTTTTGGTGTCCTTGGTGTTGGATTGCCTATGATAGAGTTGGATGTCAAGGACCGAACATTGTTTTCCGAAAAGCAAGCCAGCATTCCTCAGGCCTGGTTTTTTTTATTGTTTCCTTGAAATGCTCACACAACACAAGTGATGCATGCTGGACAAGAGCAAACACTGGAGTGGCACTGTAACGGACGAGGTGTGAGTAATGACGTGCTGCGTCCGTCCCTTTCATTGGTGAAATTTGAGTGTAGTTACAGTTGAAGTCAGTTAAAGGGTGAACCGTGGTGAAGAGGCAAACAAACATGGTTTGTGGTCATACTCTTTCTATGTGCGCAGTTCAAACTTCTGCAGGCCTCCCACGGACAGTTAGTTCAAAGAGTGAACTCAACAGGTTGGGGGCGTCATCTCATTCCCGTTCCATGTGAGTGGGAACGTCCTGGCTGGTGACTCCCCCTGAAAAGTGGCACAGACCCATCTCCAAGTTACTTAATCATTGCAGCAGCATACTGGGTGGGAAGACAACGCACAGCATCTTCTAGCAAACAGTGTGCCACGAGTCATCAAAACTGGCCATTGGGTTTGGCGGCTAATTCCATGCAATTCCTAATAACCTTGACCAGTGAGAGTCAGGGGCTTTGATGGGGCACTCTTCGATGCTGTGTGGCTCAAGCCGCAAAAGCGGCGGCACGCACCTTACACCTTACTTTAAGGCTTTGATAGGCTTCAATATTCTTTCCTTGCTTAGCTTTCTTTACATTGGTGGTCGCTGTTTGGACCATTCATAGACTCTGGTGATCATCAGCAGGTTTGTCTTTCGAATGAGAACAGATGCACACACCCTTTCCAACTCTGGAAGCAAGCCTTAAATGTGGTTCCAAACACTTTGTCAAGTCAATGAGTCAATGAATATGATCTCTTTCTAATGGACAAGCACACATTTTCACGCATCATCTTTACTCTTTGCCTCTTTTTGCCTCTCTTGGACCTCTCGCCCAACCGGCCTTGCGATGCTCGCCCTTGCCGTCCTTTTCCTCATACCGCCGGCCGCGGCCGCGGCCGGACCCGCCGCCTGCGGGTCCTCGGTGCTGCAGCGCGTGGCCGCCAGGACGACGAGTGGCGCACGTCCGCGGGTGCTCGACCTGCAGGCAGTGGAGGAGCAGCTCGGCAAGGACCAGCGGACACTACTAGGAGCAAGAAGCTACTAGGGGCTCCTGGCATTGCTACTAGGAGCAAGGACGCTACTAGGTCAATTCATATCATCAATTCATTCCAGACACTCACAATAAGCCTGTGCGTTCTCGAGCGAGAGTTTCGTCCTTGCCGTGCTTTGACTCCATCTTGATCATCGAAATCGTCAAAGTATCCCATTGGGTTCACTATTGGATGATTTGTGTGTTCTGTGGGTTGGAGGCCATTGCTACTAGGATCTATTTTTTTTTTTAATGACTGTGATTCTACGGTAAACCTTTTGTGGTGACACTTGATTCTACAGGCCACTGCGTTCGAATCAGACCCTCCGGGTGAAGCAGCAACCGGTTCACCAAGTGAACAGTTTCCAGTTCAAGGCCCACCGGGTTGCGATCTGTTTTCTGTGCAAGACAAACAACTTTCAACAAACAGGTCCAGCAAGCCGAGGCCAGGAGCCCCGTTCGTAGCGTCCTGTTGTTCCGTTCGTAGCGATGCCCTTTGCTCCGTTCGTAGCGTGGCCCTTTCAACCTTCAGCCTCACTCTCGCAAGTCGAGTGTTTCTTCAATCTTAAGTCGAGTGATCCACAGCCGAGACATGGGTGGCAAAGAAAAAGTGCTTCGGTTTGGAACGAAAAAGTGTTTTTGCACGAAAAGCCCAGGTTTCACATCCCTACGGAGGAGGAGAAGTCTATGACGAGCTGTGATGGGATGCGAGAGTTCCGGAAAGGGAGCTGGCTCCTCGAATGGAGTTAGAGTGGAGTGAAGGAGTAGTAACTAAAGTGGACGAGTTTGGAGAATGGATTCTCTTTGAGTCCTTTATTCGTGTGAATCTTCCAGAATAGTTATATGTGTTCAGGTCGCTTCACGACAACAACCGCCCGCACCAGTGGCTCTCAGAGAGGGGGTAAATGAAGTATCAGTATCTATAATCATGCTATTTTTGGACCCTTTGATACATTGTTTAGTTGTTTCTGACTTGCATTTTGCAAGCATTGTTGGATCTATTCTTCGACTCCCTTGACTGAAATTTTACATGTTCAAGGGGGTCGAACAATGGAGTGATCTTGTAAGTGCAATAAACTATGCGATGTGCATGATCGAGACAAGACTTAGAGATGAACGCAGCATGAAGTGGATGAAACAAAGAAATATCTAGCATCACGCTATTTCTCGAATTGTTTAGTAATGTTTACTTGCAGCTCGATGCAAGCATCGTTGGAGATATTGAAATGGTACATTTTACAAGGGGTCCAAATTATAGCCAGCAATGCTTGCAAATGAATATAATTTGGACAGCCTGAAACGTGTACAATTTTAAAGGGGGTCGAAAGAGTGAATATATCCAAAAAAAGCTATATAATGTGCATGATCGACACAATAGAGATGAACGCAATATTCACCTTATTTAATCAATTCGAAAGTCACAAACGGAACCGTTTGGTGTCATCTTTTTCTTGCGAGGAGTTTGTGGTTCGGACTTGGGAGAATTTACCGTGGACAAAAAGGGTTCCTGTTGGTGATGTCTCAGATGGTTTTGTTTCACTTCGAAGGGAGAACATCTTCCAAACCAAATCTAAGCTCTTGAGCCGACCACAAGTCAAAATACCCGACCACACTCTACCCGTTTCCCTAACATATACATTCAGGCATGTTTTGCCACAAAAGTTCACTTCAATTTGGATTCTTGAATTTGGCAATGGTCAATGGTCCATGGTTCATTTCTTGCCGGTTCTTCCTGGACAGACTGGGAAAGGACAAGGTTTCTCCTCAACAACCCCAATCAAAAAAACAAGTAACAAGGGCGCTACTAGGGGCTCCTGGCCTTACTACTAGGAGCACGGACGCTACTGGGGGCTCCTGTTGTTTTAGGCTTGATGGTACGTGTTCTGCTGGGGGGACTTGGCAACGAACGTTCAGAGCTGGAGAGGGTGTGAACGGGTGCTGCACCACCCGTTCGAGGTATGCTACATGAACCCCTTCGACGAAACGGGAGGTTAAAGACTAAGGAAGCTGAAGGCAAAAAGAAAGTGCCAGGAAAGCAGGGGAAAAAGGACCACTTGGACCAAACGGACAAGTCCAAATCATTCAATTCCCCGGAGGCCCGTCACTTGCAATTTGCATCTCCATTTAAACTTTGCGCTGGCAAACCGTTCCAGATTCTTTTGCATGTTGAGCTTTCCCTCTCTCGTTCCCTGTCTGTGTCGAACCGTTCACCTCGCACCCTCCGGTTTCCGAGGTTAGAGGTGCCGCTGAATGCCACCCGATTGAGGCCAAAAAGACGAAACAGGACAGGTCGAACCCAAAAAGGTTTGTTCGTCGAACCCAAGAGAAGGGTCGCATGCTTGGACTACGTGCAAAAGTATGACAAGTCGCGACAGCTTTTTGACACCACTCTGGTGCTGGTGTCGGGTCCGTACAACGAACCCAAGCTGTAGCACGGCATGTTTGTTTTCTATTGATATTCTTGGGTGATATGACCTTGGTCGAAGGAGCTCGAGGTGTTTGCTTTCGGTTTTTGAATGCAAGTCCTTAGACGGTTTTTTGAGTTGCCAATCATCCAACCAGTTTGGTCCACAATGTACAGCGCCGGTGGCACCCCACCATGGCATGTCTAGTGTGTTTTTGGTGTGAACTAAATGCTTGGCCTCTCACCACAATCTCACTTTCACCTCTATCCCCACGAATGTTTCCTTCACTGGAAGGGTTCAGCTGGGGTGTGTCTTGAGTTTTGCCGAGACATGGCCATGTTTGAGGTTGGTTTAAGACAGCTATGAATGAACGGCAACAAATGGCACAAACCAATTGGATTCTCCACATGTGGTGAGTTTTTGTTGCCATTTTGGTCAAGACCTTGCAACAGGCCGAAAGCTGAGCGGCAGATGCGTGTGGCGGTGGAGGTCATCCACAGGTGGGGTGCAAGTAGGAATTGATGTTAACATGCATAATGGATCAACACCTACTCACTTGCATGTTATGCACTGCAAAAGATCGATGTCAATGGACCGACACTTCGTGGATTTTTGGGATGTTCACCGGAGAGAATGTCTGGGGCGACGCTGCCCACAAGCGACGGGTGTGAGTCAAAGACACAGATAACCACCGACAAACGCGTCGTCATGGGCACAAGAAACTCTGATCATGGAGGCCGTTTTTGAGTGAAACACAAGGAAAGGAAGCAAAAGGCCCAAATAAGAATGGAAACACCACAATATATAAAGAAACGAGTCTTCTGGTCATGTGGGTTTGTATGATTGGGCTTTCCAACCACCCGAATCAATCCGAATTAGCTTGCCAAACGATTCTTCTGGGACCATCCGGCAGCTAGGTTTCACTTGCTCTCATGTCCCAAATTGTTTCGTAGCCAGGAACCACTCGGGGCCCGTCTTCCACGAGCTGCGATCATTAGAACAACGACGCTGGAATGAGGCGGCCGCTGGAATCGTCAGGGTTGTCACTGTCCTTTGAGCTACAGGAAACGAGATTATGGGTCTAGCGAGTTTAGTAGTAACGAGAAGCTACTAGGGGCTCCTGGCCATACTACTAGGAGCAAGAAGCTACTAGGAGCAAAGGGCATCGCTACTAGGAGCAAGGACGCTACTAGGAGTCAAGTCTAGTATATGGGAATCACCTGGGTTTGAAGGATAGACCGTCTTCGGCCCAAAACCGATGCGGATCGCACCAGACCGTCTTCGCCGTGCGGGAATTCCGACCCACAGAAGTACGAAAAGGTTTTTCCCTCCGCGGCCATGGCGAAGCAATATCACATGTGTTAAGGAGCTGGAAGGTGGTAGATCTGCTAAGACTCACGACTTGGTGTTGTGCGTTTGGGGGTCAAGATCTTATAACACTGGAAAAGAGAGATGGAGATGATGGAGTCAGCACTTGAACATGGTTCTTCGTTGTACATGGAAGGCGCGCTGCTTCGGGGCTTCGTTGAACATGGCGTTCGTGGTCAAAGCAAGTTCGGGTCCGGGTAGGTCATCCGTTGAAAAACACAGCTCAAAAAACCCGTCCATCAATCCAAAACCTTTCACGCTCAAAACCAACATTTCCCCCAAGATAAACACTTCCATTTCCAACTGCTCCCTTGCATTTTGTGGGTAGGGCGTGTAGACCGTGTAGAATCTTCTGAGCGCCTTGCAATCCACCGAAGGAGAACGCGAACTTCACCTTCTTCAACCCTTCCTTGGTGCGACTGCCGAACGCCTGGAAGCGGCATGAAGATGAAAGGTGCAGACGCTTCCAGCAGAATCCATGCATTCAACACCTCTCATTTTTTGGCAGAACACAGGAGAACAGCATGAACAGCCCACTTCTGCTTTTGCTCCAAACCGCCAAAGTTTTTCCTTGGAAAACTGCGGGAGTTTGAGGGCTCTTCACTGGGAGGTGGCTTGCCGCCTTCCGGCACATGGAAGCCTCTGCAGAGCTTTACCCGAACTGTGCTCCGGCGGGGCGCCTTCCGTGGGGAAGCTAGTGGAAGGATGTGGAAGGCGATGCACTTGTTTCTAATAGCTTCTTGTTACTACTATCATGAACTGACTTAAGTCTTTTCCGGATCTTGACAGGAAGTTTGGCTCCACAAAACTTGTTGTATGGTTTGCTTACAAGCAAGCACCAAAAGAGGTATCGAAGCAGTTTGGGTTTCCTCAACAATCAGCTAGCAAGGACTTGGGAAGCCGTCAACCTCGGAGCGGGATGCAGTTTTACCATCACACTTGGTTCGCCAAAACTGGCAAATCTTCAAAGGCATACATGTCATACGGTTCTCACACAGTTTCCAAGTTTCCAAGGGTTTCCAAGTTTGAATCTTTTTTTCATGGCGACAACGCCAGGGAATAGGCCTTCGTGAGGTCTGTGCGAACAAGGCCCCGGGTGACCTATCATAGGAGAAACTGTACTGTGAGAGGTTAGAGGTTCCAACTCAACAAATTCAACAAATGAGAAATCATGTTCCAGTCTTTCTTCCCACCCAGTGCCTACCATCGCGGGCCGGGCAGGCATGACTCCCCTCAGAGCCAAAGGAACCTTTAGCGTGTTTGCCGAGTGCTGGCTTCGGAACCCTGTTTGGTCACCTCACTTGTAGGTCAAGCGGCTCACCATCCATACTCACCACCCACTACATCAAGGTCGCTTGCAAAGTGAAAAGGAAGTTCAAGGCTCCAGAGGTGAATCCCAGCACCCTAGTAGGCCCTACTCTCCAACTGCTGGGCTCGGCACGTCTTCTGCACGCGGCACGCGGCACGCGCGATGCACGTGCACAGCTGGGCATCTCCAATGTGATTGTCTTGGCAGTGCTCGATGATGACTTCCGCATCACTCGTCCCGTGGAGCTCTTAACCGAGGAGGCGGGTGCTCCCGGCTTCGGACTGAGTTCGCAAAGATTGGTCGATATTCTTTCGTAAGGTGGTCCGAATTGACTACTTTTGGGATGGATTTAAGGCTCAAGGATAGCCTCTATATGCCGAAACATGGAATTCCGAAACGCAGAATGCTCACTCAAGGAAGGTGCTTCGGCTCACTCCGCTCGAAGGCCGCTGAGTGAGCCGGTGCCGGATTGCCAGGACTGTTTTCCGGAGAAGTTCCAGTGTGTTGATGCGAAGCTTTGTGCCTTGGCACCCGCGGAGCCTGGCGGTCGGAGCCTGGGGACCCGTTTTGGAGACCGAGTGAAATTGGTGACAAAGATTCTCCTCAATCCGCCCCTAGTAGCGTCCTTGCTCCTAGTAGTAAGGCCAGGAGCCCCTAGTAGCGTCCTTGCTCCTAGTAGTAAGGCCAGGAGCCACTAGTAG